TAGATGAAGGATTAATCTGCGAGAGATCACGTTGTTGTACGGATTGTATGATAGTGACATAACTGGTGCTATCTTAGATTTAAACTTTATGATTCGCTCATCAACTACAGGTATATCTTATTCAAAGGAAAAAACTTGGCACTTTCTACTGACTGCACGCTGTATTATATTACACCAGAGAGAATATTAACATTATCTTGTCAAACACACTAGATAAAGTGTCAAGAGACTTGTGTTAAAAGACTGTGTAGTATAGATCATAACGATAACAGAAGCAAAGCCTGTAAGCGAGTGCTGTAAACTTTAATGTGCAAACACTTTTTACCAAGGCTGCTTTTAAAGCGCTTAAACGTAATAATGTTATTTTAGGGACACCACTGAAGGTTTTAACATGACAGGACTGGAAATATCTTTCCGAGATTTGAAAACATTTTGATGTCTTGACTTTTGTGCAAATTTTCAGATCATTATCTTATCTTGTTTTTCCAGAAAATATTTATATTGTGCAAAATGACCAAAAATGAAAAACGTTGCATCTCTTTTTACTCAAACAGGACAAAAAAATCGGACAAAAATCAATATTCAACTTCATTCTCCGTATATTTTATAATCCATTTTCCAATTTTTTCCATTTTAAGTACTTCACTTGACTTTTTTGACCTCAGCACTTGAAGCTGTTTAAATAGCATTTGCGTGATTATGTTTTGCGTTTACTTGTCACTTTGGGACTTTTTACATAACAATGTCAATCCATTTATGTCACAAAAAGCCTTCTGTGTATAAACAATGACACGCTATGTACAACAAGGGCCATCAGTGATGACATGTGTCGCCTCATGATAGCCAATTGCATATTGCAGTTACTGTGTAGCAGCCTAGCAGGAGAACCAAAAATCATTAATAGGGCAAAACATTTTTTATTCAAGGGCAATAACTTAGCTGAAAATCATGGTACTGGCCATTCCTGTATAGCTTGAATGAAATTGCAACAGAAGTTTATGTGGAGCGGTCCGGACAAGTTTTGTGACAGACGGACAGACAGACGACGGAGAAACGATCCATATATGTCGCCACTTCTTAGTAGAGGCGACACAAAAATCAGATTATAACTATCACATGATATAACCTTGATCTAGCTGTTTAAAAGAAGGCCAACTAAATCATTAGTTCCTCACACGTAAATAAATTGTCCGATAAGAGGGATATTTATTGACTAAGGTTCGAAATCATTGGAATTTAAAAGAACAGATTCCATAAATATGTATTATTGTCCATATTGATCTATATCTAATGTTTCATTTGACAGGACGCTCTTATTATTACGACGCATAATTTAAGATATTCCGACATATACATACTCTCTCTAAATGGCATAATTAATATTGAGTATCTTTGGGTACTCTCCCATTCAGATAATGCACTGGCGAGCTTGCAAAATGAAAATAAAACATTAGATTTTATGATTGCTAGAAATGGTAACTTATAAAAAAAAGTGAAAGCAGTTTAATGTGGCCAAAAGTCAAAAGTACCAGATATTGTTTTCAGTACAGAGAGTTCTCATGCGCTTCAAATGAATCATCATGATTCCTTAATTTTTTGACAAGTCTAGAAAAGAATCTCAGCATACCCAAACATTTTCAACAAACGCATAAGAAGTCATTATTTAAAAAGGGAAAATGAATGAAAGAATCACAGGAAAGAAAAATGACTATCAAGAGTTAAGATACAGACATGACATAGAAGTAAATTAAACGCAATACTTATACAAACAATACAGTCAACTACTTATTGTCGTCACATAAGCTCTTTTGATCGAATAATTTGTGTTAAGTTTTATAGAATAGTAAAAACAAAACTATCGGTGATGATATCGATCATAAATGCGTTGGATAAAATCAAATTGTTAAATTTTTAATTTCAATTTTTATAATTATGATTGAATTCAGAGCAAAAATACAGTCTATAGAACATAATTTTTACAAAATATTAAGCTCCGCCTTTTTATGTAGGCAAGTCTCTAACATTATTGAAAATAAAAATACTAGAATCTAGTTAAAGTAATGTCTGTTTAGTTATCTACATCACTAGAACTCTTTCAAGGCACAGGAACAAAGAAACCTTCCGTCCAAGACTTACGGATAAATATAAGATTAATATCCAATTTTGCATTGAAAAACAAGAATGTAGGTTGCATGAAATTGTTGATTATTTCTAGGAAAAACTTTATAGTATGGAATAATGATATTAATGAAAAAAACGGTGATATCTTAGACGTGATGATATGATTTGTGCATTGAAATTTGTGCGTTACATGACATTATTAGATAATTTAATCCCTTCTTGAACAGAGCAATTATGTTTTCTTTACCAGATATTTTGATAAATAACACAAAAAAACATTATTTATTAAAAGGTTGAATCAAATTTGTGAAAATTGACCGTATCATTGATTTAAATTCTTGTTTATCAGATCTTATTGTTTAGAATATTTCTTTAGGCAGTGACAAAATAATTGTGTCCTTATTTCTGCATGTCAAATGGTTGCATGTTTAATTTACAAAACGCACGTATCACAGCGTCTATCACTACTCAAAATCTTTAAATTTACAGTGAGATTTTTTTTCTGTACCAATCCTTATTTTTTAAAAATTATCATTGATTCACACATAATCAAAAAAGCAAAATCAAATATAAGCCAAAAAGGTATTGATCAAATTTCAATAAGATACAATTTTATATTAGGTACTATTTGCTTACGGAGAAAGTGTCTATAAAAGCTTTTCAAACTTCCTACTCAATCCGTGCAATTTATTACTTGTCAATTATCATGTAAATGAAATGTTTATAAATAGAATATTTTTAAACTATTTCTTTAATATTCAATTGTTAATATTAAATGTTAGTCTGTTTCCCTCACTGGAAGTCTCAATTTCAGACGAATTTTATATACACGTAGACTAGAGCTAAAAGATTTCAAAATTCAACGTTAGATGGCGATGATATTTTTCATATAAAACAAATTTTTGCTTAAATAAATAAAACAAACAATGCTAGAAGATGCCGAGTTTTTATCCGTGAATTTGGGCGGAAGTACATCTATCTATCTATGCTATCCGAAGCAACAGATTTTCCGCCATTTTTAAAGTTGTGTGTTTGACACGAGGAAAGAGTGAAATATGTTGGAAAAAAAGGGATTGGATTTGGATTTGATAAATATTACAAGAAGTGATGAGGAATTTGGAATAGAGAGAAACAGAATCACTGAAGAAAGTCCAGAACGACAAAACGTTGAATTATTTGGAAGGCTGTTTTTTATAAGTTATTAATCAATTTCAGCTTTGTTTTGCTCTTAACAGGCTTGATATTGTCAAAATTGTAAGCGAACACAAAGTGAAGCACCACATGGGGAAACTTTTCATTAAAGTAGCCTCTTCATTGAAAAGTCTAAAATTATATTTTGATCACTTTCAATATGAAATAATCAAATTTAATTTTCAGGGATAAATCAGTTATACACTTTAAAAGCATACTAAAATAAAAAATTTAAAGTAATTTATACCGCTTAATTTAAATGATTATTGAACACCTATAATGTTTGACATTCTGTGTTTGGCCGGAAGTGGTCATTTATAATAACTAAATTTTACAAGTATATCATGTTATGAACTACTTGACAGACTTAAAGAACAAAACAAACAGTTTATTCAAGACATGTACAATAAAAACATTATCATTGTAGATGTACATAGATAGTACACAAAATAAAAGTCACAATGGAAAAATAAGCAAATCACAATAAGTTCTTACTTTTAGAGGATGAACTGAAGTGTTTTGCCATGATAACAGATTTTTTCAAGATTTCTGTATAATTGGATAATTATTCAAATTGACTCAAAATGAAGCGTTGCGACGCTTTTCACATAATCGGCCAAAATATCGCATAAAAATCTATAGTACACTAGTGGATTTATGAAAGAATTTCAAATTTTATTATTTTAAGCAATTGGACCTCAGTGGAGTTCTTTTAAAGTTAAGAAATAAAAGTAGTTCTTTGAGAAAGTACAAGTTTAATATAACAAGCTAGTTTGTGTGTTTTGTTGTTGTTGTTTTTGTTGTTGTTTTTGTTGTTGTCTTTTGGAAAGGTGTTGTTGTTTTTGCTTTTTTTCCAGACTATTGTCATTTTAATCTAACTATCTTCATAAATCAATGGTAACATGAAATAAACGTCAACAACAAAAGAAAGAGTAAATATTCATTTTGCAATAATGCACGAGGAACTTTAAATGGAATATAATGTGACCTGAGATTATTTTCATCTTCTTCCAAGTTAAAATTGATGGAATAGCTTTTAAGATCACTTGAAATTCAAGTCATCTTTGTTTTACAAAGAGCAATAGAAGTATCGGATCGTGAAATTGTCGGAAGTGAAAAGACATAATTCAATTGGAACATTTTAAAGTCTCAAATATATTCAATACTAAGTATGCTAGAAGAAGTCAGTGGTACCGATTTATTTCTAGTTAAATGTCAACTTCTTACAGTTCATTAAATAAGTGGGATAAGGTACAAAGCGATTGTAACAGATTGTTTCTTTTTCTCACGAATTTCTTTTTGAAAAAACAATTACCATCTCTTTTTATATTGTTAGCTACAGAAAACATTTTCATTTTATTTCTTATTCACATAGTACTTGGCTACTTCGGTATGCTATTTACAAGGAACACGCAAAATTTTAATTAAAACACAAACGAATGTATAGCAACTAAAATTAACTATGCACAGTGATGGAAGAGAATCATTTACAATGATGATTTAAAACTTATTTGGCATTAAATTTGCGGTATATCTAGTTGTGACGATGAGGTTCACATTCCGTATGACATGTTGCCAACAACAAGATCCAAAACATATGAAACTGTCGCAGATTTTGATATAAACTAGGCATCATTATCCTAATAAATCAGAATGAATATATGCATAAATAAACTACGTTTTCTTACCGTCTAAAAATATAGGCTCATCAAATGGAATGTGCGGTGATCTTGGAACAAAAATAAGCGGCAATGGTCCATATGACAAATTGTTTGTTGATAAAGCAAACCAGGACTTTCCGGTTGATGGTGACAAGCGTAACTCGTAGTTCTCTGTGCTGAAAAAATAACGAAAACATAAATATTTTGAAAGAAAAGATGAAGTAAAAATCTTTGAAATGTTTCGTACCGTGCAGCATTGTTATAATACAATACACTTTTACAATGAAAATAGCGATAGTTTTGTTCTCAGCCTTTAATCCATTCTGCCAAATATTCAGCTGAAGGAATTTATAAAAGAATAATTGTAAAAGAATATTTTTCGCAATAGTATCACGAAAACTGTATTTCACATGAACAAAAATTAATGCAAGCACTACTAGTATTAACATGTATTTGTTTTTGCCAATAAAAATTTTTGACTTTGACTTGAATTAACATCACAAAAAATACACCATCTAAAATTCTATCACTTTTTCATTATTTCAGAATGATTACCTTGGCTTCATGCAATATGAATCTTTAGAAAAGAAATATAATAAATTAATATGTAATATATTTTTGATTTGTTTTCATTATTATTTTGCTGCAAAACCTATTTAATAAATCATGAATTATCTCAAATAGATTGGACTAGGATGAGAGTTTTATTCATTACTATGAATTATAATAGTATATTGATAATACCCGGATTCAAAAAACGGCACTTTTATAAAATAACAAGAGATAAAATTGATATTTTTCTGAAAGACTTCAATATTTTATATAAAGATCTTTTTATAAAACAACAAAACTACGAAAACTCACGGGCTGAGCTGGGATTTTTTTTTCTTGCGAAGCAGGCTCATTGACATTCGTTTGATAATGGACGAAATGTTATAATGTACATTCATAATATATCAACTGTAACTTATTTGTGAGCTTTTTTGTATGTTTATCATGGTAATTAAAGAGAATCTGTATCAAATCTCGAGTACGTGAGTGCTATTTGGGAATATTCGTGTTTTGATAACTTCAATTGTTATCATGGGCAAACAAACATCGTTATTGAAATTAAGAAATTTTTAATGACGACAATCTAATACAATTTTTAATATAAGAGATTTAATGATGAATGATACCCTGAATATCAGAACAAAATATAAACATGCTATAAATATAAGTCTGGTCGTTCATAGCATTTGTCTGTTCGGAAACAATGATACATTTCTTTAAGAAAAATTACGATACGGTTTCTAAATAATTGCAATAGAATCGCGATAGTAGCTCGAAAGAAGACATACACTATGGCTAAAAGCGCAAGACGTGAACAATGCAACACCTTGTCAATAACTTTGATCATTTAATCATTATACGTCCCTCGATGCAAGGAAACGTGTTGGTAGTCATTCTCATTTATCTGTCGCAAGAAATCATACAGCATTGTTTCACGCAATCATAAGACATGGTGCACCACCTTGTCCAGAATGTTAATAAGTTTGCTATTACATGGCATGCTTGCAATACATTTACAATATATTTATGTGAAACATTTTACATTATGCCGAAAGAGCCTGTTTTTTATTATTATTTCATATTTATTTGTAAATATAAAATGCAATTTGACATCGGCAATCGGTTTTAGGCGTTACTTCATTTTAAGAGAATTATGCTATACCGGGAGTAAAAAAGACATCAAAAATGTGGGAAATTTCCGTAAACTATAAATAGTCAGCAGATCAATATTTAACAAGTTGTCATTCATATCTTTAGCAGAATGAAACATAATTACTTACACCACACCACGCTTCCTGATTTAAAATTAACTAGCAACATCCGAATGAGATACAGTTCTTTTACCTATCATGAGCTTGATAGAACGTTTATTGTTCGCAAAAAGCTAATTTACTAACTTCTGTTTCTATCAATAGGTCATTTGTATTGGTAATCAACAAACATTGATTATTTGTATATATAGTCAATACATGTAATTAATATAACAAATACAAAATACAAGTCATAGAAAGGTAAAACTGAGATCAAAGTCCATCTTGTTGCAAGTACAATACAACAAAAAGGACACCAAGACACAAATTTTACAGACACACATGACATTTATCAAGAGAATATTGAGATCATTCGAAATTAACGAAATTATAACAATAATTATAATGATTGTCGTGCAAAATCACTTACTTGAAAATAACACTTTGAGTACAACCAATCGCTGATGTGCAGTTTATAATCTGACCAGATACGAGCCATGAGGACAATGGTGGCAATTTGTTTGTAATATTAAACTCAGTTTCCCAAAGTGCATCTCCGAAAATGTTCATCCCATATACAGAAACCTTCAAATATTTGAGAATAAATGCTGTTGTTAAACGAAAAAAATATGTGACTTAATCAAAATGATTTATATTAGCAAGTTGGTAATTATTTTTTAAAGAAAATCTAAGAATTTTAATCTGCTATGTATGACAATAAATAAATGTATTTAATCTCGATACAAACATTTCTTACATTATTATTTAAGTTATTCTTTCATAGATATCATTTCATTAACGACTAGAGATGTAGGTCTGTCATTTTCTATCATATAAATAAACTGGCTATATAGATGTAACAGTTTAGTTGGTTTTTTTATTGAAAACATTTAACGTTAAGCCTGTCAATAATTTTTAACATTCTAATTTCATGTTCATGTTTTACTTGACATGATCTCATTGGTACATACATTTCAGTATTAACGATCAATCTAAAAATCTAATAAACAACATAATCTGTTATGTCAACACACAAGAAAGTATGTCTTATTAAGTCTAGTTGAGCCAATTTTGCATTGGCCTCATGCATCAATAATAATAGGATCAAAATATGCATGTAACTCACAGAATCAAATTCTTGTAACTCCCAATTATCTACTATTGCGCTTTTGAAGTTCCCATCATGAATGACTCCCTGTATGTGTTTTGTGTGTTTATTACCAAGAACATCGTTTACTCCGCCCGTCATGCTCCATAGTGTATTAAAGTCTTGATTCTGTTTTGCTATTAGTACCATTAATGTAGAAAAAACTGAAATGAGATTGACAATCTTAGGATTTAGTAATACATGCTTGTAAAAAAAATCAAACGATTGAAGCAGCTAAAATGAGGATATGGGTCGATTTGATGTTGTTTACCCAATAATCATTTTATTTTCTTTTGCTCTTCGTTTTTTTACTTTTCATACACACTATTTATATATTATTGTATATGGCATATGTACATATATGTGGATGGGTTGTTGGCCTAAAATACAATTCATATTGAATTGATATTTTTAATCTTTTCATTTTTTGTGATTTTTTTCAATGTGTTTAGAGCCAGTTGGTCAGAACTTAATAATTAACTAATGGAAATACATGTACATAACAATCGTCTATCAGCTCTAACACGAGCTGATAGCACAATAAAGGCAGTGAACAACTCGCATTTGGAGTGTGCCGTGCAGAGGGCTCGAACAAGCAACTTCAATGGCGGTTTAACATAGTGCTATTCATTTTAACAAATTGCATGGGTATTATATATTGTTAAAAGTAAAACAAATGACAGAGAAGCACATTGTTACAATTTTCAGCACAATGAGAGGATGAAAAAACTTGATTATCTTTCGTTTTGTCACCTTCGTATAGCATCCTATTAGTTATTCAGTCCAATCGTTTATATATTGAAACAGGTAACAAATACTTTAACACAAAACTAAATGACACAAAAATGGTGTTATTTTTCTTTAAACAATTTTAGGACATGTTTCATGTTTGAAATGTGAAGACAATTTTTACAATATATATTTTAATATTTATATTAAAACAATTCATATTAAATCCATGTTGAACCATGGACTTTAACTGACATTGTACTTAAAGTCCGTATTTTAACTATCATAGAATTCTATTCAAAGTAAACAATAAATGTTAAATGCAAATTAGAAATAAAATGAAGAAAACGTGGTCTTTAACTGAAAAAAATATTTATTTATACAAACTTACCAACAGTAACGGCCATGTCTGATCTTTTATATTAGAATTTTCGTCCACTATTTCATCTGTTCACACCGTTTCACATTTCTCATACTTGCGTTCTTGCATCATTAGTTTGAATAAGCCGTTTTTTCTCTCATTCCTGTTTGTCAAATATGTAGTTTAAACACATTATTATCATATCAAAATTTCATTAAAAGTGTTTAAATAACCACTTTACCACATGCATATTTAAAAACACAGGAGATAATTATATCATATCACATGAGAGCAGTGGAGTATACCCGCTTCCTTTGGCAATCACGCATTCAAAACAATGCAAACATTAAAGATATCCTACTTTAATAAGGTAATATTAATACCAGTCATCATTCAAGTGTAATATTTCAAAAATGAAGCCTCACATCAAATTGTTTTGTTTATTATTTCACTTATCGACCAAAATTCATTATCCTGTTGGGCAATTTCTATCCATTTTCTCGTTTTAGCATCCAGGGAGTCTGGTATTATATATTCATTGCCTATCAATACCTCGCAATCAGCACCATGGAACGCCAATAATTTACGCGGTAAAAATAATTAAATGTGGTGAATTAATAAAAGGTTGATTGGTCGCTGCTTGAAATGAAGTAAAAATGAAAAATAGCAACAAGAAAAGTTGTATGTTTTTACATGGCCATGTGAGCGTGGCGAATAATAGACATCGTGATAAATCCATAGAGATACAATAACATAGGCGCAGTAATTCTCATTTCATTAATTCCTGCTGTGTCTTTATTCCCATGAACTTGATGTAGGCCATAAATTCTTCGTCTTTTCTCTGATCTGCAGTAAAATGAGCATGCGTATATGCCTATACAAAATACTCAATCACATTGGATTTCTTTTAATTAATCATCAAGCAGTCGGTGTGCAACTTTTATCGGATATAAGTTGTTGCTGCTCAAAATACGAAGCTGTACTGGTACTTTTTATCATATCAAGAGCTTATAATAACAACTTTTTTAATCCAAATATCAAAGCTAAAAAAGTTACCTTTTTACTTGCTTAATAGGTTCTATTATTGTTATATTTTTGGTACTGCGGGATTGATCGCATTACTTCTGGTGTAGCAAATTGAAAAATATAAAGCCGTTAGGTACATGTACGAATATTGCTATAATATAAATAAATAGAGCTTAAAATAGCGTAAATTTGGGAGAGTTTCAAGTTATCCTTGCATCAATTAATATGCATGTCTTTATTTAATGGGGGGAAAATATCGAGACAATTAAAACTTGCTTTCAGTCTTTTGACCATCAGGTCGCATCCGCGCTGTTTTCAATGTGGAACCCGTGAAAAGTTGCCCTGTACATACAATAAGAGATGTTGTTTTTTCGATTCTTTATATGCTTTAGTTCGTTCGGTTTTAACTTTTTCTTATTGGGTAGTTTTAGCATTCCTAATTGAATTCCATTTAATCACGCTTTTTCAATTTGGGGTAGGTGGACGTTTGTGATATGCAAGTTTCATAACCTCTGATTCTCTTTTAAAAATCATTTAATTTATTTTCGCCCATTTTTCTAATTAGACTTTATCGAAAATAAATTCTAATTATCTCCCATTATTTACATAATATGTAAATTCGGTACTATCTTTACAAATAATGCTTTTTGAAACTGACAATATTGATAAATCTTCATTTGAGCATCATATTTATGATATAAAAATTTGAGTTATAGGTTCTTTAAGCCGGCACAAGGGGGGGCGTGTGGATGGTAGCTTGCATTTACCACTAGTTCATTTGAATAGTCTCATCCCGGATTTGGTTTTGAGCCTTCTGTGTGCCCTACTGTGGTAGCTTGGGTGTTTCGGGGGCTGCGTCCTTTGCTCGTTGATCTTTATTTTCGGAACATGCAACATTTTCACATTTTTACATTAAATACGTCAGAACGTGTTATTTCTTATTAAATACCAATAGATAACGTTTAACATTGCTTTCATGTATGCCAATTATAACATTAATAAAAAAAAATTTCTTTAAAAAGGCAATGAATATGATTTATGTTATCACAATAAAAACCAAACAGCGTATGGATGTTGTTGGCATAGGATGCAATATATCCTATCTTGTATGTAATTTGTCATTTCTGTGGATTTATTTATAAAGCAATTATGGTGCTGAACATCAAAATATTGACTGGCTAGAAATACGTTGTTTGATAACTACAAATCGACAACATTTTTTTTCAAATAATTATGAAATATTGTGAAAATATGCCTATTCTAAATGAGACTGACACTAAAGTAACGGTAACGGTCATTCATTTTGTAAGTGAGGTGCCCATTACTTTACTTCAACATAACATGTGTGGCCACCTTAACAAAGAAAGTGCTCAGTTCTGAAATACATACGCATATGATCTGAAATTTAGAACTTTTCTTATTCATCCCTTTGGGGTAGAATCGCCTTATCATTTAAGTTGCTTTGAAAGTTTACGGATTTCAACTTTAGGTTTTGAATGTGCTTACAGCAGCAAAATTCAAGACAATGGGAAATTTAAATCAATAGTGTTTTCCTGTTTAACTACATACAAAAACATATTTTAAGCTATTTAAAGAAATGAGTCATAACTCTTCTTTTATAATCCCAACTGATACAATTGATACACATTGATACACAGTATATAACATTTTGAATGTCATGCCAAATAATAAAAAAATTAATGACTTGTACCGTACAATCGGAACTAATTAAAATGAAGTTAGAAATCGATTGTTAGATTTTTCGTTGCTGATTTAGTTCAAGCAACAATAAGGAACACTCACTTTGTAATATAACTCCAACAAAGGCATGTCATTGCTCTGTTGTCATCGTGAAATATGCAAACATAGAAATCCGATCTAACATGCATATAAAACAAATAAATAACCATTTTATGCCTTGTTGTATTTTAACAGGATACCGATATGAATGATTAATTAAATTGACTCTGTTGTTGTTCATAACTGTGTTATTCCTTCTGAACATCGGAAATTTAGTTATAGCATAGTATTCAGTGTATTTTCCATCTTCATAGATAAAAATGTATTTGACAGGCTTGGAAGCATAAAACTTAATTGTAGATTATGAGTTGCATAACATTAAAACATCAAAAATTGTTTAAGTTTTCAAAAATGTGTATATATTGTTTTGATAATCAGTAGGCGGATTGTGAAAACCTTAAATGCTAAACGTTCTGGAACCAAAGCGATAACCTTTTCAATCTGTATAGAGCAAGACCAGTCTGTGCATCCATAAAGTATTGGCAGTCGTCTTCTATATTGTTTCTAGCTTGATGATGTTATTAAGGTTTTTTTGTTTTGTTTCTTGAACTTTTCTTTTTTTTCAATATTGAAGTCCCTTCAACTTTAAATACATTTTTCCATATTCGAAGCTGACTAAATCCATATTGCAAATTCTAGAGATGATTAATGTTAATCCAGATTTTGCCTATGTAATAAGGTAGGTGAACGTGACAAGAGGGATGATATGATTTTCTCATATATCAGAACGTAAATGTCGCCGTAGGGCATTTACATATTGTTGGTAATAGCATAATTTATTGATCTAAAACGTTTATATGCAAAAAAGTATAAACGCAAGATGAAATATAGCCAGACTCGTTTGGCCAGAAACAATGTTTTTAGATTTACAAAACAAAATTATCATATCAAATCACATTCGTTCGATCATAGAAAAATTGAACAACATTTCTTGCTAAAACAAGGTAATCGATATTTTGATTCATTGCCTGTTTTTTTTTCCTACACTTTAGAGTATTTTATGAATTACTAAAGTCCATTACATGCTTTACTCATTCACTTTTGTCTTTGAAAACGAAGCAAACGTAGCAAACTAAACCAACCTTTTTTATAAAACAAAACATTACCTGCTCCAATTCAGTTTTAATGACTATTTAATGCATTAGAATTTGAATTGATATCAATAGTATATTGTTATACATTAAAAAATTTTTTTTTATAAAAATGTCGTTTAATCTTCTGAAGTTCTGTATGTCTCGACATATAAGTAATTGAGTTTTCAAGTCGTTTCTTATTCGGGTTTGAATTGACTATTTTTCAGTCATAAATATAATTCAAGAAAAAAATAATTGGTTATATACCAACACTCCAAATAATATATATACCAACACTCTAAATAATATATGTCAATACAGTTGTTTAGTCAAGAACAACATTATTATATTTTGAATATTTGAATATTCTATTCTGCCTGCGCATAAAATTGTTCGGAAAATAATTTGAAAGCATTAAAATTAATGGCACACTAGCAGAAGTGTGTACAAAAACTATATCCATTAGAAAGGTCAGAATACATTACCAATTTTAATAAAGCATGAATAACTAGAAAGCCGCAGAAAGTGTGTTAGAATTAAAACCTGAACACAACTTAAGCCGGTGATGGGATGGTAAGATGTTGCAGTTTTACATTATCTATCATAAACAGAATCATTAAAACCCAGTCTGCAATTTTTTACAATAGTTTTTTTTTTTTTTTGGCTTCCGAAGAATCAACCATTTTCACGATTTTATACTTCGCAACATCACATTTCAAATGTTGTATGGTAGCTATAAATGTTGCCCCGTTGCACTTTTACATTATCTATCGTGATAAGAGCCTGCAATTTTCGTAGGCCCTCAAAAAATAAACCCTTTTCCTGATTCCATAAAGGTTTGAAATAGACTTTTCTCACATGAAGACGACGCATCTTATTAGAGAAGTGATTTTGAAACAAATTGCTAATATATGCCAACACGATGCTCAAAAATTCGTATAATTATTGTTCAGTAAAAAAGAATTCGTTTCAATGGCTTTTAATTAAAAGTAAAACTTTTTTTCTTGAATGATAAATTATATCGATTCTATTATTGTTTCTAACTTTGTTATTCCTTCTGAACATGTTATAGTGATGTTACTCTTTTGTGATGAATGTATGGAAATTTTGTTAAAATATTGTATTCAGCATATTTTCCATGTCGTATCTTTACAGATGGAAATGTTTTTAGCTGATGTGGCCGCATAAAAGTTAAATTGTAGATGATAAACTTCATGAATTTTTCAGACTTTTCAAATTGTTAATTTCCAAAATTTGTATACACAGTTATGATATCCATTGGGCAGCTTGTGATAACCCTAAATGTTTAACCTGTTGAAACCGAAACGATAACCTTTCCCTAACCAGTATAGCATAAGACCAACCTGCACATCCCTGCAGTATTGCAAGACTCTATATTTTTTCAAGCTTATATTGTGTTTTGTTTTAAAATTTCCCTGCAACATTAAATAACGGTTTCCTAATTTGAAGAAGAGAGGCTGACTTAATCAAAAAGGAGATTCTACAGGTAAAGGAATAGATTGATCCCGATTTCCAAGTGACATATATGTCCATAAAGTCGGGTGATTATGCCCGTTAATTTTTTTTCATCCATCAAATCGTAAATGTCGCAGTAGGACATTTACATATTGTTGATTATACTTAACATCTAGAAATA